GAGAGGGGGGAGGTGAACCGCAGAGCTGAAAACCAGGACGTTGGTTTAAAGTTCTAACTTGGTGTTGTGAGGTCCCTAGTTTCCCATCTGTTACGTGCAGCCTGGGAATCGTAGAAATAATGTAGGGATCAGAACAAACCATGTAAAATAAAGTGATAAAATACATATATCCATGACACAAAAACAGGATGCTATAAAAAAGAAACAAAGCCAAGAAAGAGCTTTAGGGTCTTAAAAGCAGGGCAGCAGAAAATTTAGAAACATAATAAAAAGCCTGGAAGATAAAGTGAAGGAAATCTCTTAGAAGATAAAATTTAAAAAAAAACAGAAACAAAAAACAACAAAAAAGAGAGTAAGAAAATGGAGTGTGTAGGGAAGGCAGTAAAATTAAAACATCAATCCCCTATTTTGACTAATAGGAGCTCCAGAAAGAAAGAAGACAGAAAATATAAGTAAAAAAATTATCAAAGAAAAAAAAAACACTTTTTAGAACTGAAGGATAAGAATCCTCAGATTGCGAGGCCATCAGTTGTACAGTCCTTTGAGTGAAAAAGACCTACACCAAAGCACATAGTTGTGAAATTCTGGAACTTCTTTAAAAAAAAGTCCTAAAAACTTTCAAAGCAACACAACGGGTACACTTGAAGTATTAGTAATCAGAATAGATATATCAACAGCACTGCTGACCTCTAGGAGCTAGTGCAGCAATCCTTTCAAAATTTTGAAGGAAAAATAGATTTCAGCCCAGACTTCTGTACCCAAACTATTAGTTAATCGTGAGACAAAGGCATTTTTAGGAATACAGGGATTCAGATGACTTCCAAGGCAGTTTCCTAGCGAGCCACGAGAGGTGCGCTCCAGCAAAATGAGAAGGTAACCAAAAAAAGAGAACACAGCAGCCACAGACAGCAGTGTAGGGAGAACCCAGGCGTGGAAAGCAGCCAGACCAGGTTGGAGCAACGTTCAGACAGCTCCATAAATGATACCTCCAGTGGGGAAAAAAATGGAACTAATGTATTTAGGCACACGGGATATTTATTCAGGGGCATAAACTAGAGGTACTGCAATGTGTGGAATAAATTAGTGATAGGTTCATGTACAGTCAGGCAAATGGAAAAAAATGGAAGGAACAACTCCAGGAAAAATGAAGGGTTATATAAAAAAGATGGCATGGTGACAGAGCATTGCTTGACCCCGCATTGAGGAATTTACAAAGTTGTAGTAACATAAACACTGACTTTTGGTTTAAATTAAAATTACAAAATAACCATTTGGGACACAAAGAAAGAGGAAACAGGAAGAATATATAGGAGTGCTACTTGTTTATTTCCCATGGTAGAAAATCAAAAGATAACTAAAATTGATAAGTAAAATGATAGTAGTATAAACATATCCTGCCAAAAAGTGTTGGGCATTAGTAATTTGGCAGCAATTTTACAAAAAGTACAGAAGTGGTTTTTGTAGGTCTCTTCCTTACGTGCCCTCTTGGTGAATGGTAAGGGCTCAGCCCTGTGGATGTCAGGAACAGGGAGGCAAACTGTCCCCAGGCACTGTTTCTGGGTACAGAGACTGTCCCGGGCCTGGGCCTGGACACCTTTCAGACAATAGAGTTGAATTCTCTCTTCATTTGCCGTCATGTATTCAGAGCAAAGTATTTTCTTTCAAACTGCGTTTCTCCCAGATTTTCCACGGATTGAAACACAGGAAAAGAGAATAGCAAAGAGACACTCAGGATACAAACTTTCTCACTGGACCAGTATGTGAGCTCCTAATTATTTCCTCATATAGCGGATCTTTTAAAATGATCAAAAGACAAATGCATTTCTTAGTAAACTCTAGATTCTCTTGTCCTAATTTTTGGAGGGTAAGAGAAGGTTGTGTGGGATGCCTCTTTCTTCAGTTGATTTGCAACCACTGGAGAAATTACAGGGAACAAAAGAAAAAAGAGCCATAAATACAAATGAATTCCTTTTATACAAGTTGAAAAAAACCACAGGACGTGCTCCCTTTTTTTTTTTACCACTCCAGGTGTGATTGCAGATTACGTATCCACCACAAGAGAGTGGAGAGTTAATTAAAATTTTTGCTTCTACTCACAGAAAGAAATGTCTTTCTGTTTGATAGGCAGGCTGGCTTTTGAGTGCTGTTTGGTGCTTTCTTCTCTTCTCGCTGGAGTGTCACAAAAAAGCAGATCAAAGAGAGCCTTCTATCCGGATATGTTTCTTACTGCCTTTCTTAGCTAATAGACTTAAAAGCGTCTCCCACTGACTGGCTTGTCTCGTGTTTTAGAAATGCCATCTTATTATATTGATAATATGCAAACCGGCTTTGATAGATGCTTATGGAAAACCACGTTTACATTAATTAAGTCAAGACCATCCCACATAGTTGGAGCGGGACAGTCTGGCAGAGTGCAACCCCTCGCCACTACTGTTTGCATTTTACTTGGCAACTCTGCATGGGACGGCCAGAAATTAACGCTCTAGATTGAACCCTCAGCTCTCTCAAGCAGACATAGATTTTGTTGTGTTTTCCCTTTTCCTTTTGGTTTTATGCTTCTGCACTCTCTGGCTGACATCGCCTACCCCGAAGGGAAAAACTGTTTGGGAGAAATCCTGCTGTTTTTCTGTTTAAGATAGTGACAAAATGAAGTCAAATGGAGCAAAATAGAAGCAGCCGGTTTGAGGTCTGGCTAAGCAGGCGGTCAGGCTAGCAGGGGTCGTTCATTGTCTTGCAGCTCTGGGTGCCTGGGTGGAGAAAACCCAGCCAGGATACAGCCACCAATAAAAGGACTCCATTCTGCCACTCAGGGCTTTGTGAGGCGCCAAAGCTTGTCCTGGTTGCCATGGCTACTGTATGATTGTGGCGGGTTTGTCACAGTGCTTGATAAAGTGGGGAGGTTATTCTTGATAGGCCCAACTAATCATAACCCCGCAAAGCTTGAGAGTGTGGATTTAAAATTGTTTTTTCCTTCTCTCTTTAAATGGGAATGCAGGGATGGGGGCAGGGGTTCTCAGGATAAAGCAAGCACTGGGTTCTTCCCTCAGCAGGTGACAAGGGCGGTGCAGCAGGAGGGATGCTGGCTGTGGTCTGGAAGGGAGGTGTCCCTGTGCCCAGGGGGCCAGGCAGAGGGAGGGTCGCAGGGTCAACTGTTCTGCCATTTCTGGCCTGATTGGGGCTTCAGGGAAGGAGCTAGAATGGTGTTCTCTCCTGAACAGTGATCTCCCCTGACCCCGCCTACAAATCGATTACCTGCGCCTCTCTCCTTTCCTCCCTTTTCCCCGGCTTCCCCCTTCCTTTGCTAATTTTCCATCTTTTCCTCTCTCTCTCTCCTTTTTCAGTCCATTTTGTGCTGCTATAACGGAATTCCTGAGAATGGGTAATTTATAGTGAACAGAAATGTATTGGCTCATGGTTCTGGAGGCTGGGAAGTCCGAGACCAAGGGGCTGGCATCTGGGGAGGGCTTTCTTGCTGCATTATCCCATGGTATAAGGGCAAAGGGGACGGGGGAGCATGAGATTGAACTTGCAGATCAAGACCTTTCATAATGGGCATCAGTCCACTCATGAGGGTGGAGTCTTCCTGACTTGGATACCTCCCAACACCATTGCATTGGGGAATAAGCTTCCAACACATGGAAGCTTTTGGGGGGGCACATTCAGACCATAGCACTGTCCTTCTTTTCTCCCTTCCCCCCTCCACTCTCTTCTGCTGCAGCAGTATTTCTGACAGCTGATCCTTTAAAAGTCCATCTGGTTTTTTCCTCACACGGAGAATGATAGGAAAGGTTAGCTTTGAGGTGACACCTGATAGATTCTGGCCACCGAATTGTAGACTCTTCCCTTTTGCCGGAGGGACCTAAGACATTACCGAGGCAGTGGTTCTCAGACTGAGCTGCGTCAGGACTACTGGGAAGGGCTTTTTCAAATCCAGATTCTGGGGCCCCACTCCCAGAGTTCCTGATTCAGTGGGTCTGGGGTGGAAGGAATCTGGGTACAGTTTGAGATTTTCTGTAGCCAACTATAAGAAGCCAGACTAAGAGGGGTGGGGAGTCCACTGTATACACAGGGCAGGGTGCGGGCTACGCTTACAGTGTCAGTGAGGAGCCCAGAGCAGGACATGAGGCCCTTTCAGTGAGAATGTCCCCAGTAGTGACACCCAGAGCAGTGGCCTCATGTTAGGGTTCTCTCCCCATTCTAGCAGGGCTGAGTTTTTCAGTTGAAAGACAAATGTCACTCCCACCCATTCCTAATTTGAAATAAAACAGGGGCAGCATCCATTTATGCTGCAGGGCAGGATGCATCGCACAGGTGAAGCTGCCCCTGTGTGTGTGTGTGTGTGTGTGTGTGTGTGTGTTGTGCACGCACGTGCACAGACGTGTGTGTGTGTTGCTGCTGTGGCTGGATGCAAATGACTCGATGATTTGCCAAACGTAATTTAACTCCCCACAACATGCTCTGAAATCGTCCAGAGCAGTGTGTTGTCCTATTCCTTAACATGTCTTTGAGGCGAGGTAATTGTGCTTCTTCAGTGAAACTCGCAGGAGGCTATTTGTCCAGACAAGAATAAAACAAAATGAATGGATTAATCTTTTTTTTAAATTTTATTTCAGCATATTATGGGGGTACAGATGTTTAGGTTACGTATGTTGCCCTTGCCTCCCCGCCAAGTCCGAGCTTCAAGCGTGTCCATCCCCTGGATGGTGCGCATGGCACTCTTCATGTATACCCGTCCCCTCCTCCCTGCCCCCAATTAATCTTTTGGCTCTAATTCTTTGCCGACTACACACACTGAGTTGAGGCCTGGAAAGAAACCTCATGTTGGCAGTCTGGCCACAAACTTCCTAACTCTTCCGCGGGCACTGGAGCCGGGGCCTCCAAGCTGTAGGGCACTCCCGCCCCTTCTCTGCTTCACTGGGTTGGCGGTGGAACGGTCCCCTCTCATTGCTTGAGAGTTGGCTTGAGGCGGCAGCAGCCCTGACGATGGCCTTTCTCCCCAGGGTGTGGAGGTGCAGACAGACTACGTGCCCCTGCTGAACTCGCTGGCGGCCTATGGCTGGCAGCTCACCTGTGTGCTGCCGACTCCCGTCGTCAAGACTACCAGGTGAGAGTAACAGTAATTATTATTACTGTATTAAACATCTAACTCTGTGCCGGGCGCTGTTGCTAGTAAGCACTTCATGTGCATAGCTTGTGTCATCCCGTGACAAGCCTGTGAGGCTTGGCGTGGCTGCGTGAACTCTCCAGCTGGGAAGGGGCAGAGCCGGAACGGCATGTTTTTGACCCCCACCTCCCCGACCCCCGAGTTCTCCCCTGAGCCCATCTTCCCACGTGGGGAGCCTTGGCCAGTGAATCATTGCTCCTCAGCAGGTCACAGATCAGCCACCTGGGCCAAGGGGGCCCAAGGCCCTCTGACGCAAAGGAAATTCAGCACCTACTATATGCCCCGTGGTAGGTTAGATAGGCACTTTGTATATAAAATCTCAGTCTTCAAAAAAAGAAAAAAACCTATGAAGTGAAATGTTTTTTGAAATTAAACCCATGTTATACCCGAGGAAGTTGTGTCCAGGGAGGTGGAGCGACTTGCCAAGACCATGGCCCTGGTCAGTGCCCCACAGGGGCTGCGAAGCCTGCTGCGCGTCCTTGTGACTCCACGGCCACGGTCACCCGCCTCCCTCAGCTCTGCCCACCGTCCCTTGAGCCCGGTCACGCCAACTGTGAAAGGCCTTCCATCTGGATTTGGATTTGCTGTCTCAGTTACAGCCCCTGTGGGGCCGTGACATAGCTGTGATTCCCAGTTTTCCTCAGATGGGGAAACGGGCTAGGGGAGGCTCAGTGACATAGTCGAGGCTGTGAAGCCAGTAGGTGGCAGAGCCTGGGCTTCTCCTGCACCAGCCCGACCCCCACTGACCTGCAGGAACGCCCCCCTCCCACAGCCCCCTGCTCCGCCTTCCTTGCGCCCTGCTGCACACTCCCCACTGCGGGGTGATGGGCAGCGCAAAGTAAGGCTGGCGAGAGGGCTGACTGAGAGTGGAGAATGACCAGGATGATTGGTGCCTTTCCTGGGTCCCTCCTCCAGCTCATCTGGGCCCTCAGCACGACTCCCTCCTGACCCGGGGTCACGGTGGGTCTGCGCACCTGAGGAGCCGGTCTGTGGCCACCTTTCACCTGTGCCCCCTGTCCACGGGGAGCGCCATGGTGTTTCTCAGCCAAGACTTTCACAGGCACAGGGCAATGCAGCGGAGTGGATTTGGGGCCTGAAGACTTGAAGCCAAGTCCTGAGTCTGCCACTTGCTAACTGTGTCATCTTGGTCAAGTCTTGTAGCTTCTCTGAGTCAGTGTCCCAGTCTGTTTCCATTCGCCTCAGGAGGAGAATGTATCTGAATGTGAAGCTCCAGCTGGCTCTGAGCCATCTACATGCAGGGGGTGCAGACAGGTCTCTGTCTCTCATGTGCACCTGCTGAATAATCCTCCCTAATCCTCCACTTCCTGCTCCTTACTGACCCCTCATGGTAGAACGGGGAGTGCGTGGAACCAGGCAGATCTGTGTGTGAATCCTGGTGTGGTCTGGAGCCTGCTCCTGGACCTGAACTGAGTTTTTGTTTCCTTCTGTAAAAGCGCTCGTCAATTCCTTGGAGCACTGCGGTGAGGCTTAAATGAGCCATTATGTGTGAAATCACCCAGCCCAGCCCCTGACACAAAATAAGTGCCAAGCAAATGTTAATTCTTTCCCTCCTTTCCCACTGAGACTCTGGAACACAGGAAGATATTTGCAAAATAGAAGTCTAAGAAATGCAAATTGAAACCATAATGAGAGATCACCTCACACCTATTAGAATAGCCATTATCAAAAAGACAAAAAATAAGTGTTGATGAGGCTGCAGAGAAAAGGGAACCCTTTGTAGCTGTTGGGATTGTCAATGAATACAGCATTATGGAAAACAGTATGGAGCTTTCTCAAAAACTAAACATGGAATTACGTATGATCCAGCGATTCCACTTCGGGGTATACATCCAACGAAACTGAAATCAGGGTATTGAAGAGACGTCTGCACTGCTGTGTTGATTGCAGCACCATTCACAGCAGCGAAGGCACGGAAGCGACCTAGTGTCAGTCCTCGGATGATTGTGTAATGAAAATGTGGTGTATGTACATAATGGAATACTATTCAGCCTTAAAAAGGGGGAAATTCTGTCATTTGTGACAACAAAGATGCACCTAGGGGACACTATGCTAAGCGAAGTAAGCCAGGCGCAGAAAGACAGACACCACATAATCTCACTTACGTGTGGAACCTAAACAAGTTGAATTGCTGGAAGTTAGCAGCGGCTGAGGGAGGCGGGCGGATGCCAACAGGAGAGATGTTGATCCAAGGGTACAAAGTTTCAGCAAGACAGCAGGAATGAGCTTTGGATCTGTGGCACAGAATGGTGTCTATTATAAGTAATAACATACTATGTATTTCACAGTTGCTAAAAGTTACTTTGAAATGTTTTCAGCACATAAAAAAGTATGCGAGGCGATGGATTTGCTAATTAGCCTGATTTAATCATTCCACGTTGTAAACATATATCAAAACATCACATTGTACCCCATCAATATATACAATTATTATTTGTCAATTAAAAATAAAATAAAGTCATCAGAAGGGTGACTTCATCAGCAGGGGAAACAATAAGGGTCTCCTTTACAATATTTCTGTCATCTTGAAAGGCAGCTCCGCAGGGTCCTGCCTCCTGGGAAGGAAGGGCCCTCACTGTGTCTTAACAAGTAGGCAGCCCTGGCCCTTTGGTTAACATGAGTCAGAGCCGAGGAGCAGACCCCGCCTGGTGGCACCGTCTTGGGCACGCCTGCGGGAGCCATGCCCTGCCCCCTGCCTGCTGTCCTGTTGCCGCTGGTGGGCTGAGCCCATCACCCAGGTCCTTGCCTACCTGCCCACCCTGGCCTTCCTTCCCAAAGACAGACATGGGAGGGGCCCCTGCCCCTCTGAGATTCACCGAAGCAGCCAGTCTCTGTGTCTCATGTGGCCAAGATGCTGCTGTTACCACATGTCAAGGGAACTGGTGTTCCCAGCTGGGAAGCTGACTCTGCAGGGACACCCAGAAAGCTTGTGTTGGGCATCTGAGATAGCCCTCCGGAAGCAAGGGTGATGGCTTGGGAGTGGCAGAGAGGAGGGGGCTGCTTCTTGGCTTCGAACCTCTCCCAGCGCTGTGGGCAGCCTGCTTTAACGAGGTCAGGGATGGCAATGTCTGCACTGGGTTTTGGGTTCCTCCAGGTGTGACGTGACTCATGTCAGCTCCGTGTGTTGCAGGGAAGGGAGTGTGTCCACCAAGCAGATTGTCTTTCTTCAGAGACCGTGCCTACCTCAGAAAATCAAGAAGAAGGAATCAAAGGTAAGAGACTTTCCTTGCCTGCCTTGGTTTTCCTCAGCAGGGCTTCATCTGCCAGTGGATTTCTGACGGCAATTCAGCGGGCAGCCTCTTCCAACTCCCAGGGGCTCTCGGAGCCCCAGGAACACCTGAGCCCCTTGGCAAACTGAATCACACCTCAGGCTGCTAAACTGGGGCGGCCGAGGGCCTTGTCTGCCAGTCTCCCGTGGGGCGAGCCAGAGGGTGGAGGAGAGGGGCTCTTCTGTGCCAGCCCTTTCCGCCAGGCTGAAGAGGGGCAGGAAGTCAGCTGCAGTCTGACCAGGGGTAGGGATGGCGTGAGCTCATGACCAGCTTCTCTGTGTCTTCCTCTCGTCACAAGCTGGCTGGAGCCCTGGCCTGCCCTGTTAGATCCCTTAGGACATCAGGAGTTCGCGATTTTGGCAGACAGACCCTGCCAGAGTGCCTTCCTGACAGGACCCGACCCGAAGGCCTCTGAGTGACAGCTGGTGATCCAGATGGGGGCCAGCCTTAGCCCGTGGCAGCAAGTCCTCAGGCCAGGCTGTGCTGGGCGTCCCCAGGATCCTCTTCATCCCTCTGGACTTTGCATGAACTATCCCGGAGACACAACTGCACAGAGAGACTGCGGCCATTCTCAGGGAATCTTCTCTGTAGTTCCTGAAGTTGAGTGCAAGTCCTCCCCTTGTGCCAGAAGATTCTGATACTTCACACCCCCACTGCTTTGCAGCCTGTGGGTGCTTCTCCTGTGGGTGTTTCACCCGTTGCTCAGGAAGAGGCCAGTCTGTCGAGCGAACCTATTACAGCCCGAATCAGGTGTCACCAGATCCAACTTGCTCCACCTTTGATGGCTGAGGCTACGCTCCAGGCAGAGCCTGTCTGACGACTCCACGTTCCCCACTCTTGGTTCCTCACGCTCATTGGACACAGAGCCCCAGACAGGAGCGTCAAGCAAGTGAACAGATTGTGTCTCACCAGCCAACAAATCCAGGGGGAGCCCACTTGTGGAAGCAATGCCAAAGCTATGGTGACTTGAAGCCAGATGGACTGGAGTGCAGAGGAAGGTCTGTCTCTAGGCTCTGAGATCGTAATGTGACAGGTGACAGCAGCGGTGGACCAGAAGGCAGCCTCCTTGGATCCATCATTAACCACCAGGAGCGTCAGCCGCGGGCTGGAAGATGGATTGGCCATGAGCTGTCAGTTACAGCTCAGCTCAGCCCGGCCGCAGGCTCTGGGGCCGCACGCGTTCAGAGAGAGACGGCCAACGAGCAGCACACGGGGCTCCTTCAGACGCTGAAAGCCATCCGGCTGCGGCCTGATGAGAGGTTCCTGGTTGTAGCGCAGGCAGATTCCAAAGGAGAGACACGTGGTTTGATGTCAGTAGGAAGGTCATGGCGTCTCACAGAGGGGACACGTCTGTAGAGACTTGAGCTGGCTGGGAGGTAGATTTTTAAAATCTGCTGTACGAAGGTAGAACTGACTTTCCTCAGGGAAAATCCAGAGAGGATAGGAGTCATTTTCTAGTGAGCAAGACCTCCCGGTCCCAGTCAGCCACACAGGAATGGGTGGGCTGCGCTCTCTTTCCATGTACCTGTTTATTGCCGGCCTGCAGCACTTGCTCTGTGCAGCAGTCTTGCAAGACTGCAGCACTTGCTCTGTGCAGACCTGGCGGGTCACCTCACTGGTGGCGTCCCAGAGAGAGGGGACTGGACAGCCACACTTCTTGGAAGAATCCCCTGGACAGTGTCCTGCCCCACCAGGTCCGTGCACTCTGGTGACCATGACAGTCACTCCCTGTGGTCCTCATCACGCCTGAACTCCTGTAGCCCTGGCCACCCTCCACCTCTTGCAGCAGCTTTTCTCTTGGTTCCATCCCACCACATTCTCTTGGTTTTCCCCTCAGTTCCTTGGGGTTTCGACCCAGCCCCATTTCTCCTCTCATTCTTACCTCTTCCCTGGAAAATCCCCTTCATCCCTGGGGCTTCACTCTCTACCCCTGTACCTCTTCCCTCTGCATCTTCAGCCCTCGCTTCGCCCCTGACACTCGGCTCCACCAAGCCTGTGGCTTACGCCACCGAAGAGCGACCTCAGGACCGCCCTCCCCGTGCCTGGCCCGGCACCCCCGGTGTCCAGTCTGTCCTTTAAGACTTGTTTCAGGCCTAGAGACGCTGGAATGCCTCCACTTCTCTCCACCATCCCATGCCGCAACTCCTCCGGTCTCCTGGTAACAGGTCTCCCCTTCGAACGTGTTCTTATTCAGAGCCAAAGGGATCTTTTAAAAAAGTAAATTGAATCATGTCACTCCACTGCTTAAAACAGTTCTGAAGTTTTGTATGACTCTGAAATAAAGACAGAAGTCGGTACTCTGGCCCACAGGGCCCTGTGGGTTCTGATCCATCTCACGTCCTCCGCACCCCCCATCCGCTGGGGTCCAGCTCCACCAGCCTCCGGGCTCTTCCACGGCCCCTCTGCCGAGGACACTGTCCTCCTTTCTCTCTCTGCTCAAGCATCATTTTCTCAGGACATTCCTTCCTTTTAGACCAGACCAGGCTCCTTTGTAATACACTGGAAAGGAACCCTCTCATTCCGAGCTCTCCTCTGGGCCCCTGATTATTTGTGAGCGTTAGTTTATCCTCTTTCGGTGGAGTCGGCCATTAACTCCATGAGAGCAAAGACTTTTTCCCTCCTGACTGTTGTACACCCCGTATCTGGATTTTAGTCAGTGCTCAACAAATAATTTTTGATTCAATGAATGTGTAATCAAACTTCCAAGCCTGAGATATATGTATTATGTCTAGCATTGAAATTTAAGAAAAGAAATTGTGAGATTGGCACACCAAGGACATGGCATATTTAGTCCTCTTTTAATCAGCAACCTGGACAAAATTCTCCAATCAAGACTCTTCAGCATTTGAAAGAAACCTCTGTGTACGTGAGTGTGATTTTCAAAGCAAATATTCAGCTCCTCCAAGGGAATCGGTGATTTCTACACCACCAGAGAAGTCGTCTTCCAGCTAAACTACTTGAAGTGGACACATCACGGATGTTTTTTAAAACGTGCAAATTGAATCCATTAGCCCCTGCTGACACGGAACTCTGGACCCCTCTGCTGTAAAGTGAAGGATTTTGTTTTCTTTTGCACAGTTGTTTCTGAATTGGGTGGCTCGTTTGATTTGGTGGCACACCCAACTGCCACGGAAACTGGCTTGGGATGGCCCCCAACTCAGTGCAGCCTGTGTTACCTGTGGCTTGCTGGGTGAGCTGGGACTGTCCCTGGGACTGCCGGACGCATAGACTGCGTTCCCCAGGCTGCATGCCTGCCGCCGGGCGGTGTGGGGGTTAGACCTCCCCTCGCAGGCTCAGCCCCAAAGGCTGCCACATCCCAGGCGTCGCCCCCTCCCTGGCCTCGCCTCTTCCTGCTGAGACATCTCCTTTTGGAGACGTGGGATCTGGAACAGTTTTTGTTGTGCGTTAAAGACTGTGACCGCCCAGCTTGAAGGAGACAGAGAGGCCTGGGCGGCGAAGCGGGGGGCAGGTGAGGGAGACGAGGAAGCCCCGCCGTGGGTGGCAGAGCTGGGGTGGCAGGGGCGCTGGGGAGACCTTGCTTTTTCCCAGCTGTTTCTTAAACAGCTAAATCTTGCCCAGGTGTTTTTTGTGTTTAGCTCAGTTTTCAAAGTGGGGTCCGTGGACCGGCGGTGTCAGTATCCCCTGGGAGCTCGTGGCAACTGCGGAGTCTCCTACTGAGTCAGCAGCTCTGGGCCGGGCTGGGCAGCCGGGTTTTAATGAGCCCTCCGGGCGGTCCTGATGCCCACTCAAGTCTGGGAGCCAGTGTCTTGGCTGAATAGTTTGGGGCCCTTTCCAGGGTCACCTGTGGACCTCCATTCAAATTTTATCATAATTGATTTTTTTAAAAATGAGCTTGTCAGGGGGCCTCGGTATAGATACTTGTTTTTAATAAGTAAAACCAAAGCATCTTCAATGGCAGTTAAATAGGGACCTCCATCAGCTGACCACTCAGCCTACTGAGTCCAGCACCTGACCCAGTAGACGCGTCTTGTCATCATAAAGCCCGAAAGCCGAGGCAGTTATGCGTAGGACTGAGCCTTTCCAAAGGTGTGGCCTCTCCGGTCACTTTCTCTCCTCACTTCTCTCTGGAGCCAGAGACCAAAAGCTTTTTGCCAAGGACTAGAGGCTGGAAGGGTAATTTGGAGCTGGAAAAATCCAAGCTGGAATTTCAGCTCTGTTATTTCCTAGCTGTGTGACTGTTGGCAAGTTACTTAACCTCTCTGAACCTCTATGTGTTGATCTTTAAAATGGCACTAATAGTGTCTATTGAGAGTTTTGCTTTGGGAATTCAGGGAAATGTGAAACCCTGTCATAGTGTGAGACACACAGTAGGTGCCTCAGTACGTGCTTGTTCCTTCCTAGGCAGGCATTCTAAGGCAGTCTGCCTCCACAACGCTAAACGTTCAGCTTCTACTTTATCCAGTCACTGAGTTTTGCCCACTGCTACTTCCCTGCTTCATGGGAACCTCCCCTTGCAAAGGAAAGGAGGAAAAGAGAAGGCTCAAGTGAGATGCTCCCTCAGTGTCTGGCTGACAGCTGTGGTGGGCTAGGGGGCCCAGGCAGCACCTGAGTCAGCGAGGTCACCCATGGCCCATCTGAGGACACAGCAAACAGTGTAGTCCTAGAAGGCATTTGTCGTGGCAGATCTTTCTGTGATGACTCTGAAGGACAGAAAATGGCTGGAACACTTCCCACCCAGCTCAACACTGATGGTACCAAATCCTCGCTGCCCAGCAGTCCGGGCAGGTTCCTGGAGAAAGTGGCTGGCGTGCCTGCCACAGCCCCTTTCCAGTGCGTGCTCTCCTGCTGTAGTGTATCAGGCGATCAACGAAACGTGATCTTCTACAGGAAATGGACCTGGCCGGGCATCCATAGGAAACTGTGGAAGCTCTTCTGTTTATTTAGCAAGAGCAGCCCCTGCAAGACTGTCTGGGCTCAAATTAGAAATCAGCAGATCTCAAGGGTGGAAGGTCTGGCACAGGGTGGAACTGTCCTCCGTAGTACACTGCACAACGGCAGGGGGCGCTATTCACATCGAGTGCAATGCGAATGGGGCCTGGAAGTGTGCGCCACTGCCCTGGAGGCCGTGACAACTATTTTAGAGATGGGGAACTTGAGACGCCGAGAGATGAACAACACGCCCAAAGACTGACAGCTAACCAGCGCCAGAACTGGGATTCGAACCTGAGGCTTAGTTGCCATAGTGTAATGCTTTGACATTTTAGCATTTAAGGCCTCTTAGGCAAAAACAGTATCACCACATTTTTTGGCAAAAGTAAAACTTCCTCTGACTTCCCCAACGACTGACTGCCTCTTGGAGTACTATACATGGGCAGGCTTAACTGGTCTTTTTCTAAAAATATGTAAAATGTGAAGAGGTTCTGATTTTTGGACATCCAAAAAAAAAAAAAAAAAACTTCCATTTGGGCTGGAATTAAAATGCAGTGGCAGCTGCATGTCTATTGCAAGGCAGCAGTTACAAACCTAGCACAGTGTGCACGAGCTGCGGAAGGTTGGCAGGGTCTGGTATCTGTGTCCTCTGGGGGGTTAGGGATCCTTAGGATGCCTGCTTGGCAGTCTTGGCCTATAGAGTCCAGTAACTGGAAACTTACAGCTTGGGTGGAAGAGGCTCCATCCAACCTTCCCCCCAGGGAAGTCTGTCCGCTGTCGTATGAGAGCACACACAGATAGGCACGTCAAAGGGGAAAACCCATCCAGCATTATAACTGAACTCATTTGGGGATGTGTGTGTGAGGCGGTGAGGAGGGGGAGGACAGGATAAATGTTAAATCCTAACCTCAACATGTATTTCCGTTTTTCCCTATTTTGATGGAATATTCAAACTTACCAGTCTTGGCCAAAAGGTCAAATCTAAGAATCTCATTCTGTGTTACATCTCAGATCTCTGAGTGTTTAGGCAAATGTTTTATATGAGGAAATAGATCTTTACCACGGCAAACTCCACAAAAGTGGCAGATTTTTAAAAATTCACATAGCACATTTTTGGTTTTTCCTAGCAAAGCACTGAGAATTATTTACAACATGGTAAAGCCTTAAGAAATCGTTTCTGCTGATGGTGCAACTGCATTCCTCGGCTCCCCTCTGCAGCCCAGCGAGGAATTGTGGGAACTGAAGGCTTTTACTTTTCTTTCAATCACACACTGTCTAGGATTTAAGTACATATTTGGTGAGATCAGTGTGATGCAACTGAAGTGGAAGGAAGTGACCGTGGTGGTAACTTAAAACTGTGTGTACATCAGGTCGCTGGGAGACAAGAAAACAGGTTGAGAGATGGAGCCAACGAGTGGCAGAGCTGGGACTCTCCCACGTGGTCTCGATCCAGAGCTTTGATAAGACCCTGGTTCCTCCCAATTCTGTTATTGGCTATGTGACCTTGGGGCTCTCTGAGCCTCTGGAGACTTCCCTGTTACATGGGGGAACGCTTGGTTGCAGGCCTGGCTCCCTGGAAGCAGCCTCTGCGATCTATTTGGGCGGGATTGGTTTTTAGAGGGAGGGAGCACCCTTAGGACAACAGCTGTGGGTGCAGGAGCGCGCAGAGGAGTTGGGCTGTGATGCAGTCGCCACCCCCAGGTAGGTCTGGAGCTGGGACAAGGAGGTGGGCTGTCGAACCCCTCCTGGACCAGCCATTGGTTGAAGGTTGCCCCAGGAACGGAGTATGACCTTCGGTGAGCTGGTGCTGGCAGCTGTGCCTGCAGCTGGGGGAGCGAGGCTGCCGGTCCCACAGGACAGCCCGCATTCGCTGCAGGTTCTGGGCTCTGCCCAACTCGGGACCTAGTGAGAGAATGCCGGCCTGGCGGTTGGTAACCCACAGCCTGCTCAGAATGGGAAGGAGTGGCTGCAGTCCTGGCACTTAGGAGGGACACACCTCACATCTCCCCGCCCTGACCCTCCAAATGATAGGACTTCAGGAGCCCCTTTCCCATGTGGGCCTTTGGTATGGGCCAGTCAAAAGAAACACCCCTTTCCTTCACAAAACCTCGAAATCCACATCTAGAACACCCGCCATGGAAGGCAGGGAGCAGACTGTCGGGTGGGCGAGACTCAGGTTTGCCTCAGCTCCAGGAGTACTGAGCATGTGTCTTGCCCAGAGACAGGAATGCAAACAAGCCTTCAGGTGGAGCTCTAGGTTCAGAGGCTGCGTTACTTACCCTCATCCTCTCCGATTTCTAGTTTCAGTGGCGATTCTCCCGAGAAGACATGCACAACAGGCAGATGAGGAAATCCAAAGGTAGAAGTGCCAGAGACAAACGACGAGCAGAAGAAAACGAGAAGAATGTAGAAGACCAGTTTTCCAAAGCTGGAGACGTGGGAAACTGCGTGCCCCTGGGTGGGCAGCAGGAGGGCGGGGCTTCTGAAGTGAGGGTCCCTGTCCAAGAGGTCAAGGAAGAACAACTGTCCCCTGTTGGCCAGCTGTCTGTGGGGGGCATGGAGGGCCGGGCCGTGCAGAATGGTCCTGCCGGCCATAGCAGGGCCCCGGCAGGGGACTGCACTGGGCACTCTGATCCTGGAGAAGAGGCCAGGGACGGGGGTGTCGAGGAAGTTGCTGGGGAGCCAGCTACAGCTGAAGAACACTGAGTCTTGGGCCGTTGGCACTGAAGCTAGATGAGCTGGCAAACCCGAGGCACCTTGCTGACAGCTGGTTCGGGCGCTGGTTTGCCCTGGTGTTGTGTTGCTAACTTTTGGCTTGGCTTGACCTCTCCTTGTGAGCTCTCCCGGCCCTCTGAGGGCCAGGGCCCTGACAGTGTTGGGTTTTGCACATCCTTTGGAAAGGTGTCATTCATGACCCTGTGTTAGAACGCAAGAGGCCAGGTTATTTCTTCTAGAGCTCGAGGCTGGAGGCCCAGCCCTGGCTCCACCATTCCTCCCACAGGAGGGTTTGGACCATCCAGTGCCTGTGTCCACCCTGCAGGGCCTCCAGGGAGCATTCAGGTCAAATCCATGGACATCCTTGGCTATAAACCAAGGCTGTTGTTCACTCCCACACGCTGTCGGGCAGTGTCCATCCCTTGCAGCTGCTTGGTGACTTTTAACCCCCGGAGCTCTGTCAGCTGCCCTTCTCCAACTAAACCCCTCAGATCCTGCTGCTTTGGCAAAGAAAATGACATCCGGGAGAGGAGGTTCTCAAAGTAGTCCTATAGATACTGGTAATCTGGAAATAGGTAATTCTGTGTCTGCACCTGCTCTTGCAGAATGTTCAAGAAAGTATTCTGTGTTAGTATTAATGCCAAAAAAATTTTTTAAAGGTTTTGTATTCAGCACATCATATGAACACATGTCATTTTTGTCATTTCAGGGCATCCATACTGGTTGGTGCCCTTATGTGCTATTTTAATCAGTGTATCATTGGCCAAGTTGTTACCCATGTATGCTGTGTCTATCACGTGTTTATATTGTCCAGAAAGTATTGTTAAGGCTTTAAGTAGATGGAACTGGCGAACCTTGGAGAGAGAATGCCAACTGTCTTGACCAAAACAACAGCGGTCTATTCTCTTTCTTGTTTAGTTACTTAAAGCAATAAATCATCTATGAGTTTAGCGCATTGTGAGAATTATCTGTCATGTCACATGAAAAGTCCTGGCCTAATGTCAAAAGGACTCCACCCTACAGCCCCCTATCGGATTTTATAAGTTTCTAACTCTTGGCAGTGTGATGATTTTGGGGGAGAAAATGAAGCTTCTATGGAAAACTGTGGAGCCAGGTAAGCATGCTGTGCTTTGTCGTCATTTGTAGAAAGAAAACGGAAAGTGGAATTCAGATGCACCAGGTAAGTAAGGGGCTCGGTCACCTCCCATGTCTTGGGGGTGGAGGGGGGTTGGAGACAAACACCTTTTTAAAACAAACAAAAAACCCACGTTGACAAATTATTTGAGGAAAGTCTCTTTTGGTTGCAAGTTTATTAAAATCAACCACATTTGTAATATATTTTTATAGAGCAGAATTGAAAACCCTCGTACAGCCACATCATAGAGTTGTTTCCTCTTGACAAATTCCCCACCAATACTCAGAGCTTAAGAAGGTTAAATGCAAAGGATTTGTTTAAAGGACAACTATTTTAAAATGACATTTTCCACAATTATACTCAGTTAATATCTGTACAGCATTTTGATTTAATAAAAATATCTCGGCACATATTTTAAAGGATCATGACTTTAAAAAATATGCTAGTCAGCAACAGGCTAGGACGAAAAACTGCTCACAACTTTGAAAAGGCTGGGGGGCCTTGTCACTCAGCTTTGGGTACATTTTTCAATAATGAAATGACATTTATATTGGCTGTATTTGCTGTGGGGAAAAAAAAAATTAAAGGTGACTATAACTAATTTGAATTCCTCAGGGAGTTTGGCCCTAGTGTCAGGCTAACAATTCCTGAAGGTCTTGTTTTTTCTCCCTTGCTTCTCTCCATCCCTGCTGATTCTGGCAAAGTATCAGTCTACTGTGGAGGTTCTCAAATTGGCAGCACCTTGGAATCACTGGGGGAGCTTTAAAAAATACTGCTGCCCAGGGCCTACCCGCAGAGCCTTGAATGGGTGGGCACTGGGATTTTTAAAAGCTCTCTGGGGGTCCTAGGGTGCAGCCAAGGTTGAATACCACTGGCCACAGGATCTCTGTGAATTAAATCACAGCTTGTCCCTTGTGAAATAAAATGCTTTTTACAAATGGTAAATAACCAAGGTCCTAAAACCCAATCCAAACATCCTGCATGTAATTCAAATAGGGTTATTCCTGAAGGAAATCTTACTTTCCTGTGATTGCCAATAGTGTGAAAGGCCATCGTTTGCACTGACGAGGTGGCAGGAACAGTCAAAACTGCAAAGACTTGTGTTTGGCACAAGGAGGCCTGTGCATGTAGCAGTCAGTCTTTGGGGCCACGGCTATCAAAGTGCGTCTGCAGGCGATGTTGAGTTCTAGGGGGTGATCAAGTGATTCAAGTGGGACGTTCTTATGAGGCTGTGGCTGAATTCCAATTCAATTCTTTCATGGGGAAAGTGTTTTCAACCTCTTTACCTCCAGAAGTTCAGGAGAGGGTAGTGGGTGGAGTTTAGTGTCACTCACAGGGTAAGGAGGGGAAGGAGAGGAATTCTTACCAGATCTGCTTAAAGAAATGCAGGTATATTGCTCTCAAGTACAGATGGCCACAAGGTGAAAGTATTGACACATGGAAAATCTAAGGCAACCTATGCTGTCGGAGCAGTAAGGCTTTTTTTTTTATTTTTTGAGACGGAGTCTCACTCTTTTGCCTGGGCTAAGTGAGTGCCGTGGCGTCAGCCTAGCTCACAGCAACCTCACATTCCTGGGCTCAAGCGATCCTTCTGCCTCAGTCTCCCAAGTAGCTGGGAGCTACAGGCATGCGCCACCATGCCCAGCTAATTTTTTCTATATATTTTTTAGTTGTCCGATTAATTTCTATTTTTAGTAGAGACGGGGTCTCGCTCTTGCTCAGGTTGGTTTCGAACTCCTGAGCTCAGACACTCCACCCGCCTCGGCCTCCCAGAGTGCTAGGATTACAGGCATGAGCCACCGCGCCCGGCCAGTAAGACTTTTATATTGGGCTTGGTACAGTGGAAAAGCCCAGCTGGGCTTTGGAATTGGACAGAGATGGTTAGGAACCTAACTGGACACAATCTACACACGTAACCTCAAGTTAACTTCTTCACACCTCCGAGCATCATCTCCTCAGGTGTGAAACAGGGCTAATGGCACCCACATCATTGGACTTCTGTGAGGATTAATAAGATGTGTGTCAAGTGCTTGGTCCATGGGAAGCACCCCGTGGGTAGCAGTTAATCACAATGCTGACAGGTGATCAATGTGGCAGAGACTCATAGTGCTCACCCAATATCCATGGATGTACATCGTGTACTTCCCAGCCCCTCTTGCAGTGTGGGGGCACAAGACTGGCGGTGGGACATGAGCAGATGTGATGTAGGCTACTTCTGGGCCTTTTCAATATATCCCAGGGACCTCCGCCAGCCCTTCACCTCCAACACCCCTGGCATAGTTCAAGATGGACCATGACATGGGCATTAAATAAGCCTTTGCTATGCTAAGCCACTGAGATTTTGAGGTTTATCTGTTACTAAAGCATAGTATACGCCATCTTAACTAATGGAAATACTACAGTAATACTTACAGAGTATCAATTTGTTAGTGGTTTATAAGTAACAAAAAGATAAACACGAGTCAAATCCTTGTCTGAGTTTTTTCAAATCTCGGCATTGATGATACTTCACTTGAGTTGTTGATGCTTAGTGGGAGCAGCTTCCAAAAAGCATTAGCAGGAGGCATTCTAATTTATTTCTTATGAAGCACGTTTTATCAGAACCCTAATCTGAACATATTAATCATGGCCCGATCTAAACCACAAAATGTCTTTCAGGAATAGCTCTCAGACGTAGCAGTGCTGATTAGTAGGAATATGTTGACCGAAAACCCGTCACTCACACAACACATTCTGGCACAGCTCTCCCCCAGTGCGGGGACAGTGCTGCAGCACGACCCGGGTTCTGTCCTGCTGGGGCTCACAGCAGCCTGGGAGTAAAGATGAAGTCCCGAAAGGGTTGGCAACGGGGAAGAGGCGAGGACGACTGGGGTGTGCGCAGCCAGGAGCTCAGCACCGACTCCCTGCCGGAAGTGCTGGGAGCTGACTGCGTGAGGAGTGCAGGGTGGGCCCCTGGCGATTAGCTCTCTGCCCGCGCAGTGACCCGCCAAAACGACTGGTGCAACTTCCCAGGAGAGTCTGCGTTTCCTGTACCTGGCTCCCGGAGTTTGGAATAGGGAAGCATGTGCACGTCAGATCTAAGGACAAGACCCAGCGAGCCTCTGGCTGGTATTTCTGAGGTGGCTGTTGCCAGACAAGGAAGCAAAATGATGTTCATTACAGGTTCCTGTTGATAACAATCATTTCTGTGGCCAGACTAAGAACTTGAGCTAACCCTGGTGGGTGAGTGCTTGCTTCCCCAGCCCTTGCAAAACAGTGTGGTGTGGTGTTTCCTTCCAGCAGAGGCAGCCAGACTGCGAGACTGTTCACTATAGAGATACATATTTTTTAATTCCTACACCACTGTGCTAGATGCTGGGAAGACAGCAATGCAGAAGGGCATTGTGAACCACGGACCAAGGACCAAGGATTCTGGTCCTTGTGGTAAGAATGGGAGGCCACTGATCAGTTTTAAGCAGGAAAATGACATCAGATTTGAATTTTTTAAAACATCTTTCTGGCTACTGAGAGTAGTGTGCAGGGGGCCCAGAGAGAGTGCAGAGATGCGAGTTAAGAGGCCAGTGTTTCAGTCCAGGTGGGGTGTGCTGGTGGCTTGTACCTTAGTAGAGAAGAGGACAGACTAATTTAGAGTTATTTAGGAGCAAAAACTGACTGGACTTTGCAGTTGATTGGGGAGCGAGGGAGGTACTGAAGCTACCAACCTGTCAGAACCAGATGAGCACTGTCCTCATCAAAGGCGTTTCCTCAGAGTAATAAATACTCCAGTGATATTGCTGTTGTTCAGAACTTTTCTAGAATCTCTCACATGGATTAGTTTTCAGAGCTTGAGTGAATTCAACATTAGTCAACAAAGTCACTAAACCTGACGTCTGACACCCTTCTTAAGACCCAGTGAACTTTGTCTTTAATTTTTGGAAGGAAGGGAGTTGTCGGGAGACAGCAGCAGCTGGTGGGGAGGTGCCACAGTTATGCATGTGGTAGTACAAAGGGAATTATCTGTCTTGGGTCTGAAGGGCAGAGCCTGAGCTCCGCCCCAAAAGGATTTTTAATAGTAATGCTGGCAATTACAGCCTCATCTTCAGCCAGGCATAGGTGGAAAACCACCCCCAGACTGTGGGGACTGTCTTAGAAAGAAGGTAAAGGGATTCATTTATCCAGAGACAGTTTCAAAACATGATCCCATGTTGGTTGACTAATGAAAGAAGAAGTTTTTCACCCTGTAACAATGCAGCAAAACTTAACACTTCTGTATTTAAATGTGTTGCTCCCTAGTCATTAAATTCAGCATGGATTTGGATTTTTCTGCTGCCTCTAAATAATATAAACGCTTAATGATAAGAAATGTATAATGATGGTATGGTGGCTCACACCTATAATCCCAGGACTTTGGGAGGCTGAGGCGAAGGTTCACTTGAGGCCAGGAATTCAAGACCACAACTAGGCACATAGCGAGAGCCCGTCTCTATAAAAAATTAGCTGGGCATGGTGGCACATGCCTATAGTCCTAGCAACTCCAGAAGTTGAGGCAAGAGGATTGCTTGAGCCCAGGAATTGGAAGTTATGGTGCTATGATGATGCTACTGCATTCCAGCCCAAGGGATAGAGTGAGGCCCTGTCTCTAAAAAAAAAAAAAAAAACTATTTCACTTATCGGGGTAAGCATTCAAACGCTTCCTGTGATGGACCTTTGTGTTCATGTGAACCTCCATCCTGGGTACTTCCTATCTTGTTGATTCTTCAACAAAAAGAACAAAAAAATCATTTTAGAAGAAAGAACCACCAGCAAACTCAGCAGTTTCTGGATCCACAAAATGCCTAAGAACAGTC